ACTGTTCCTAAATATCGTGTACTTGTACACGTAATGTCAATTTAATAATATATACATTATACATCCACATTGGACCTTTATAGGTTTGATTTTATCATTGAATATATTATTATTTGAATGAATTTTAAATATTATGTATTTTGTAAATAATTGTTATTTATTAAAATTATATGCTGCATACAGGTACRCATTATTCATTAGTCATTAGAAATTTAAAGAATCAATATTATGCAWTAATGTAGGTCATTTATATGCTTTTTAATGCAAATATTATTATTATCATTACCAATATATATGCGTATTTAATACGTTAATAATACTATATTTTTTTCTATTCATGTACGAACTGTATATGTGATTCTATGTAAATACTAAAACGGATTTGTATTTTATGAGCACGTACATAAAAATAAAACATTGTACATTTTCTATTTGRCCGTGCTATTATACGTTTTCAATTAAATCAAAATATAATATAATATTGTTACTTATATATATATATATTATATACTAGTATAACTACAGCAGAAATGAATAGATCTATAATGGATACCAAATCTATGTATATATATATAAAGTTTTAATTATTATTAAGAAATATAATATATTTTATATATTATCATGGGAAGGTTTCATACTTGAGGCCTCGAGGGTGAGATAATATATAAAAATATGTTCCGATGTTTTTTTTTTCCACTGAAAAATATCATGATATATTTCCGCCCTTATTCTTCGATTTTTTTTTAATATACCTACCTATAAACATTGACTTGTACGTCTATATTTGAATATTGTACGTAGAACATACTTTTATTTGGAATACTCTCACCAGTCACCCTAAGTATTTTGACATTTCACCGTTAGCACTGACAGTTTTATTCTTGAGTTTTGACATAACTCATATTTTTCAATAGAAAAATACTAATTCTACTCCCAAAACCTCTCAAATACACATTCCTTTACACTGCGTGGTAATGTCTTGTGTCATTTACAATTATTATTTCTTTTTTAGGTAAAATAATATTCACCCCGTTATTCTCTACCTTCTTTTCTGCACTTATTACCATGCATATTTGTGATTATTTTAATTGTGGACCGATTATACGTTTGAGTTAGTTCACTCAATACTAGTTATATCATTATAACTATAATTCAATTATTTGCATTTTTATTGAAATTCTATAGTTTATTTTAGAAATAAAAAAATATTTTTTTTTATTCGTTATTATTTTTCATGAATCAAATATTAATATTTAGTAGTTATTCTAGAGACTTGTCAATAAAATATATTATGTACGAAACATCAAATTTTTGAAGCATATTCTATTATTGCGAACAATGTATAAGATTGCTTTTACTTTTTTTAAAATTGATTTCGAATTGAATGGAGTTATAGAGGAAACACTGATAATTAATGATTTCAATTATTATTACTATTATTATTGTAATTACTTATTTTTTAATCGTTTATTATATTGACGCGTTTAAAGCATGATGTATATTAATTCAGATATGAAAATTGTTTTCTATAATATAATTAATACTATGTAAGTAGGTACTATTACGGAACTATACGGTCTACGGCTTATAAAGAAATACATTTCAAACATTAATATTTTTGCGGTTCGTTATTTTATTTTTACCAGTAAAGTATATTATGGCAGACATCCTCAAAACAATATATTATATTATAAACTCACCTAATAAATTGTGATGGCCGTTGAAAGTAGGAAAAAAACTGGATAATTGATCGATTAAAAATCATTTATTAGGTTATTGTATACCATTTGTAAAATTTGATGATCATTATTCGTTTTGATCTATAATAACCGTCGGACATATTATATGATTTTGTATTATACCAGGTTAATAATTTATAAAGATATCATATTCAAATCCCAATATTATGTTTATTTGAAATTTTAACGATTGAATATTGTGAATGAGATAAAAATATAAGAGTGTTGTCGAATATTTAAGATAAACGTAATACTACCTACCCCACGGGGGCTTTAAAACAAAATGAATAGGTACATTGATTTTTATGGCTTTCGAATGTCTAAGAGAATAAAATCTTGTACGTCAATAATGAATTATGTGTATAAAATAATAATAAAAAAATATAAAATATCGGTTTAATACACGCAGTATATTAACGTATATGATGATACGATGATGTAGATGTATACTATATATCTACATCTCATATATGAACATATAATAGAATATTTGATTCTTCGAACAAATCCTAACAATTTTACCACCCACAAGTATATAGGTTTTTCCATAGTTTTTTTTCGTATCAGTTGACAATTTGACAGTTTTATTAAATTCCTTTGGAGTTTCTCTTCGCAGCACATAATAATTCATAACGTCCAAATACCATTCGGTTTCACTGGTATCGGGTGGTATGTGTATATATTATATATGTATATAATATAATAATTGAGGTTAAAAAATTACATATCACGACGCCGTTCTCGCGGAAACAATACCAATAGAAATATATTACAAGTTTCATACGAAGGTGCAGACAGTGGCGGCGTCAGAATTTTATTACCAGGTGGGCCAGGCTGGGGCTCAAATTTTGTAGGGAGGGCCAAATTATTGACTTGATATATATATATATAACCAATAGTGATGACAGGCAATTGCGCAAAAGGGTGAGGGGGAGGGTCAACTTCCAATTTTTCAATTTTTTTTACACTTCATCGTGTTAACTTACTAAAACAATGATTTGCAGTAAGCATGTGTTAATATTATTTATTTCCTAACAAAATATATATTCATGTAAAAGTATATTCATCAAAAGTATATAAAAATAGAATGCTTTTCCTTGTATTTTCTTCATCATAGTTGGTTAATAATCTAATCCCGTTGTTCATGGAATTTTCAACAAAATTATTAATAACATTGATTAATATTTAATAATAACTAGTAAGTATAACTTATTATTTTCATATTCAGCCACTGGAAAATACACGTTATTTATGAGGTTTGAAAGCATAGTGCATAGTTTTCAACCCATTCAAAATTTTGTTCACGCCATCTATTATGACTAAACATTTTCATATTTTGATTTATTCAGGAAATATTTTTTAGTATTTTTTAGTATTCTATACTTCTATAGTATGAACTATGATTAAATTTAATTTTTAGGGTGGGCCACAGGGGGGGCCGAGACTTTTTAAGGTAGGCCCGGGCCCACCCCTGGTGCCGCCACTGGAAGGTGGTTTAGGTAGTTATTAGACGCAGGCGATGAACCGACGGCAATGTTATAATACCACAGAATATGACATTACTATTAAAGATCATGGTAATGGGGGTTTGCGTGACAATAAGAAGACYGCGAAAAAAAATTCACATAATTATAATATATAAATGAATACTGCCCGGTCTAAGGATATATATTTTTTATGGTGAGGCATATGAGGGGGGACTGGCCGAAAATATAAAAACACATTTTACATTRCAAAATATAAACCATAAGCGTTTATTTTTGCTCTTGGTGAAAAAACATAAAACGTTTTCAACCTATAAGGTATATGTGATTATAAAATATATAATTTTCTCTAAAATATGTGCATGTGCATTCTGCATATTGCATGTTGCCGAGTTGCCGCGAGCCAGGACTGACTATGAAAGAATGCAACGACAGCAATCGGTCGCGTTCATTTAAAATTATTATTCATAGAAATAACGCATATTTTTTTTATCGTTCAATATCTCAATTTCACACATTATGACACACGTGAATAATATCCGATATTTATGGAATTAACTTTAAACTGTTTCGTCATGACTTACAATAATTTATAGAATTTTCATTGACACAGCTATACTGCAGCTGGGCTGCTAGAGKGGTAACCCACGAAGCCGAGTTTCTCGACTTAATATGATTTAAAATACCTATACCTGTAGTACCTGTAGTTTTAATAATCATCAATGTAGTTTTATTTTCAAGAATTTATCCTCGGTTAACGTTTATTTTTAAATTAATTTTTTTTWAATATTGTAGTATTATATTGGTGTATTGCATTGAGCTAATGTATCAACGGGAATTAGGTTATATGTATCGTGTGAACATAAACGGTATTTAATCGATATGCAGATATTAAAAATTAGGTACGTTAAGAAGTGGTGTGGAACAGCTGCGGCTCACCAACTCCAGTAGGTAAGTGTCATCAAATATAAAAACAGCGTAATATGTAAGAGATTTGGTTAATGGAATTGATAGCTAATTATACGGATGCAGGAAGTTTTATTCGACGATTTTATATGCATGTATTTATATTAAAAAAATAAAATCCAGTTGACATTTTTAAAAAAACGTGATCTAGTGAATACATCGTATAATAGTTGAAATGAAATATTGACAACGCGTGTAAGTCCAGGGTGGTGTGAGGGGGTAGAGATCATCACAGTTCTACGAGCGTTTTGTTATTATCGTGGCACCAACAAGACTCAAAATATTTAGGCTGCGGCAGTGAATACATTTCTGTTGTATTATTACAATGATATAGGATATTATTGGAGAATGGCAGTTTTCATTGTAAGGAACTTCTGGGAAATTCTCGCCAACTCCTCTGGAACCGCCCCGGCARTTATTATAGTTCATACCAAATACACACAAACATATTTGATAATGTTATCCGTCATTATGATATTATGACGATGCAACGRAACGCAACGGAGGAAGTCGTATATGACGTATGGCAGCGTTGCTGGGGAAATACTTTGAAAAAACCGTCTTTTCGGCGGCGGCGTACGATCGCACGTGCGCGTGCGTGTTGTGGCACGACTGCGACGGCGGCRCGACCGAGCGCGAGTGAAGAGCGAGAGAAACAGCGAGAGTCGATCCCGACCACCGCGCACCCACCGCCATCGCGATACCACCCACCGGCAATAAACGCCGCCGCCGTCGACGGCGACCGACACGACACCGGCCGGTTAACCGTACCGAGTCGGTTCGTGAACGCGCGACGGCAGTTCCAGTATACTTGTCTATGGGCAGTTCGTCCGGCACCACCGTAGCTCGTGGTTACTGTAGCGCTCCGTGACCGACCGCGTGTGTTTGCGTCCGTTCGCGTGTGCGATCGTTTTCCTCGTCGTCATCTCCCATGTGCGTCTGATTCGTGTCGTCTCGTGGAGTGCGATCATCAGTTTTTTTTTTAAATATATTTTTTTTTCTCGTCGGTTCAGCCGTTTCTGGTATTGTTTGTAGAAACGTTGGAAATCGTATCAATCGTCGACACTCGCCGCACAACGGATACGACAACCGCGCGAGGGTCTCGCCTCTCCGGACGAATATTTCCCGCTCGAGTCGGTGAGTGCCCCTTAGGGTTGATTGCCTCTCTGTTTATTCAATATTATTATTGCCGTCGTCTTCGGCACGGTGAGACGTCGGCACGTCTTGACGACGGTTCAGCAGCCGCGTCGTAAAGATTTCGCGGCCGATACACGTCGCTTACACTCACTCGCCCACTCGCTTACTTTTACTCCGCGTGTATGATTATTATTAAGGTTGTCCTAATACTGGCGACGTGGTAACCTTGGACGTCACGTCTGTGTCGGCGACTATAATAGCTACGCCGCCGGCGTAGGTACCACGTCGTTACAGTTGTTGTCATGTTTCTACTGTATTTCGAAAAACAAAAAATAAAAACCGTCTTACCTTGAGCACGGCACGTGCCGCTGAAAGGATGGATTTTTTTTTTGAAATTTTCAAATGTAACGACCGTGGCGGTATCATTTTTGGCGCGCTTTGGTACCTACCTATCCGCGGCGAACCGARCACCTGTCCGCCGCGTGTCGTCCACGCAGCAATCGGACCGGTACCGTCCTCGCGAAACGTTAGGGGACGGTAAAAAAAACAACAACAAACCRCCATTTTCTACGCGGACTGTGGTGCTCGAGTGCGTCGGAACGTCGACGACGACAGACAACAATAATAAGATTATCATTGAACRCTGCCGCAGGTAGTCGACGACCGTGTTCGTCTGATGCATTTTTGTTCAATTTTATAATAATCTCGAAGTTATCGCCCCGTCGGGGTTTCCGAGTGCAGTGGTGCACTAATCGTGCTGTARAAACTATTGATAATATTATTATTATTATTGTGCAGTCGGCTTGTCGGATGTTTAGTGCACGTCATGAGAAATGTGTAAAATGCACACAAATAACCGAGTTGATGGTTGATAAAAAAAAAATTATTCTGTGGCCAATCTGAGACTAAATTAGAATGGAAAGACGTTGTTTATTTATACTTTATAGACGTCGATTGTTGACATTAGCGCGCAGCACGTCGGTTTATATATTATTATTATTATTATTATGTTTTTGTTTATATTGGGTACCTAGGACCGTGGCTGTGTAATCGATTTATATAAATCGTCTTCGATTCTCCGTGTGATTTCTAAAAACTRCGCGTCAACATGTCTATTCGGTCGATTTTTTTTTACTTTTAACTGTAGGTACATTTTTTGGTGGTGGTTGTGGTAGGGGGGCAACAAGTTACTACAAGTCACCATATTTATTTATCGTATGACTATTAACTATCCTACATTTCTAAATACTAAATAACATCAATAAAACAAAATAAGAATAATGTTTATATAACAAGTCATAAAAATAATCTTTAAGACAGTGAACAACATGATATTTATTGTAATAAAACAAAATATAATAGAGCACAAGAATATTTTAACGTTTAATTTGGCCATCCAGAATATTATAATTGGCATTACTGTTGGTGGTGGTGGGGGGGGGCAGACAAATCAGATTAAATCCCATTACCTGTGAACAATTTGTACATCATTATAACGTAGCCGGTGTGATGTCAATGGGTTCTCTAGTAAAAGCKATTCTGTTTTCTCGGATTTCGATACCGCTTACCGAATAATTCTGATAAGACCTCATTATTATATTATGATCATGTTGTTGTCTAATCGACCACATTTTATGACTGAAAACTATTTTTGATGTTATTCCGTCTGCGCGCACTAAAATTAAACCCATCGTTTATTAATAGAAATAGAATCGTAAAATAATATCACGCACGCACGTTTGGAGCATTAAACATAATAATATACCGCGGACGCGTCTCTGGTTCAAATTCATTAGGTTTCACGTGGAACACTTCTGTAAAAAATTGATATTAATATTAAAACACGACACGCGACTCTTTTAGTGACTTAGGTAAAAAAAAAATAAATGGAAGCGGGAATGGAAGTTTTAATAGTGATCGACCTGACGATATTTTCTATGCGAGTCACATCAGCTATATTTATAGATATGACATTTTCCAGAACATTATCATTATGTTTTGTTACTTCGAAGTCGCGGGTGGATAATACTAAATAATAAATATAATATTACAAAACACTCATGTGATAACATGTTTTTCCGACCGAGGAGACTGTCGGCGTATAATATTAGTATTATCATAACATTATTACAAAATTTAATTGATCGTAGACGTAAAATATAAATACGGTCTTTAATTTTAGAGTAGAAATGTCGTTATACTCGAATCGTTATGAATATTCAATGTGCCAACTACCTACCTATATCCATTCAAGTCGAGAACCGTACTCGACGTAGCGTTTTAATAATGCAGTGTTTCAATATTTAGTATGACGGTTTTGCATATTATAAGTTCTTAATAATATTGTATCATCCATCTTTTCTATTATTATTATTGTGTTTTTCACACCAACCATTTTAACACAAGATATATAGGTCGATATAGTTACGCTACACGTYAGACATGTACCTGTAAATTAAATTAAAATTACATAGGTGCCCAGGTACCTTTTTTTTAACTTCTGTGCATATGACGATCCATCGATTTTTTAAAATAGGAATTTGAGATTTTTCGTTTTGAGATCATAATAAATTTATAAATTTAAAAAAAAAAAAGAGTTTCCGTTGAGTTCGTTTAACCAACTCCATCTTCAAACAAGGACGTAACTTAAGAGCCACCTCAAACAAACTAATATTATGATTACTAAAAAAATACTATTATAACGTGGCATGTGCGAGATATGGACTTGAATAATTTGAAGGCGCGTCCAGACGCAAATAATCTAGAAAAAAATCTCACAATTAATTTTTAGTTTTAAGTACTTATACCTAGTACAAATTTATTTACAAACAAATTTAAAAGATAATAATAATTGTGTATTTGTGACTTTCCTRCGTTTAAAAACATTTCGGAAAACGCCTTATCTTTAATAAGGCATTGTGCGGTTTGCGGAAGGTYTTTTGTCGGCCCAATGCCGCGCGACAAATACGTGCCTAGACGATGCGGTATTTGTTTTTTGATTAAAATGATTTTAAAAATTTGTAAAAATATCTTAATACTGTTTTCAGCGCGAATACTCCAAAACTCCAAACTCCACACAGATGCGGCATAGCCGAGCGTCACAAATCGCGAGGTTTTTCTTTGATGTAGACCGACCGCCTTACAGGTCAAACGGAAATTTTGCCGCATTTAACGAATTTGTTTTCAGGTAGTGTTTCTTATATGTTTTTTTAAAGTGTATTTTCCATAATACAGTTAGTTATTAAGTTATTTACAAGGCAGGAAAGTTCCAAGTGCACAAGTTAATATTATCTGTTTTAGATTTATTTGGAAATTAATTTGATAGTTAATTTGTGTTTAAAAATCCAAGTTAATTGAGAAATTAATTTCTATATTATTTTCTGTTTTTAAACAAATATACTTAATATTTTTTCGTTAAAATTATTATAATATTTACTCGAATATTTATGATATTTTATTCTAGTGTTCACATTTTATTTTATGTGCTTTGATATCTTTTTCATTATTCCTATACGAGTATTATGACGCGTGAACAAGGAATAGGTACCTACTCATAAAATGTGCTGATACCTACTTGTGACGATGGATATAGGTGTCTAGATATAGGATTATACACTCATTGTGGCAATTGTCTAATGATAAATTGTATGGTATTTTTTCGAATACTAAACTATAAAATATTTGTCCCAAACTTCATTGCTTTTGGTTAAAAACATAAATTAAAAAAAAATTATATGGGCATTATACCTATTACCTATACCATACCCAAATCGCATTAAATCCACACACATTATTTACATTTTATTTGTGTTGAACTAATAACCTTAAAGGAAATGTTGTAATAAAATTTCCAAAACAAAAAATAAAATACTTATGTTTCGGATTTCATAATGCGGTGCACGGTGTATTTCRCGAGATATTGTAAAATCCGTCCAGAAGAATAGCTGACCTGGTGGTCTGTAAACGTTTTCACACTGTTTATGATACTGCTTATGAGGCGTTTGCGTGATGTTAACCTAAACACAATCAGTCGGCCATAGAATACGTATACATATTATATATTAAGTCTATTTTTTTAAAAACAACACCGAATCGTGAATTTAAAAAAATTAATTCTTTTCCATGGTAAAATAACTAGATTCTCGTATCATAATAATGTATTTATTACGTTACATATAACACTAAATAAATTATAATTCATTATCAAATCATTCGTAATTTTGTCTGATCGATTTATTTCTGTTTTGTAAATATTCTTTGGGCATCTACGTCTATTAATAGATTAAAAAAAAAAAAAAAAACTATAAAATACTTAACCGTCGTCTTTTACACTGCTTGGTCTCTGGGAGGAGGGTGGGATATTCCTCCCTGTGATCGTGTGTGCTTGAAAAGATAGTTTTGAAGGTATTGTAGAGGACAATGCGAAAAATGCATACGTCGTACCTACCTACCTACCTACTTTGAGCAAATAACCGTAAAACACGTTTCAGTTTTTAAACGTTATCAAACGATTTTTGTTATTCGAGTCTTACCAAACATTATTGGTAATGGTGCGGGAAGAGGTACGGAAATCGCTTATTGATGTATTATTACATTGTCAATAATCTCTGTTTTACAATAAAAGGTGCAATAAATAATAATGTGATATTATAACAGACTTAGGTAATGCAATGTAATTCTATTAAATATCATAATTCCCATTTAACATGACGTAAGAAAGGTGAAAATGCCTATTAGATACGTAGAAATTTAGATTATTTTAAGTAGTTGATCTTTAAATTTTATGCAATAGTATCCATAATTAGCGAATTAGTATCCACCTTGGCAATTACTCGGGTGAAAATATTACAAGATATCAATACAAGTTAACACATAAATTAGTTATCAATAATAGGGTGATTCATGAGGCGTAAAACACTCATTATTTATAATAACTATTTACATTTTTCAATTTTTTTTTTTCAMAATTTTAGATACATGCTGTTCTAAAACTATATAAATTTTTAATATTTTTCACCCTTATATTTATTAGGTAAACCACTATCAACTTTTGATTTTTAAATGGCAACCTATATTAAAATATCATAAATTAATAAAGCTATTTTTTTAATAAATTTTCATTTTTCGTTAATTCGTTGACGAGATATAGTCTCCCAAAGTTGGATGGTTTTGGGGTGGTTTTTGTCCTGTGCTCCTGTGTAAATATGTTTACCTATTTTGGGGCACARCTTAGGCTCAACTATCGTACTTATTGAATTTGTTTGAAAAGTGTATTATGTTTTACGCTAGAGTACAAAAATCCCAATTGCTGCGGCCGCGGTAATGACATGATATAACACATTTAATATTTATACACAAACACCACCCCAAAACCATCCAAATTTGGGAGACTATATCTCGTCAACGGATTATATTATACGGATTGTATTGTATGTACAAAATAATTTTTTTTTTAACCAAGTAGTAAGTACCTACATACTTTAGCTTAATCTTGTTTGTAAATAGCTATAGATATATGTACAAGGAAGTAAACGAGGAAGTAAATAATAGGTTAGGTACATTTTCAAAAGTCGCTTTGGTAGAACGGYTAAATGTGCTCGTCGGCTTCGCGGAGGCCGATATTCACCATTTATCTTACCAGTTATGTATTTCTTACAAATATCTTAGAATATTATATACCTCGAAATATAACTGCAGTTTCCTACGGTTTCACGTTGCATGTTTACTATGTTCGTAAAAAATATATATGTAAGGGTAGGGATAAAGCTAGTATTTTCGTATTCAAAGTACTACGGAGCGCCTTATGGCAATCGACATAATTTCATGGTGTTGAGTTACTCGTTTTATTATTTACTCATTTACAAATAAAAAAGGGAGGGGTGTGTGTGAGCGGGCTTTTCAGTGTAACGAATGCTACATGCCCAATGAAGTGTGTAAATAATGCAAATATTATGTTTTCTCACGTCCGTTACCGTCCAACGAAGCACACACAAATACGAATTCTACAGTAGGTACCTATGAAATAAAATATTATGTTCGCCCCCGAAACGGTAAACTGCTGTACAATTATACGTGCCTACACAATGCAATTCGTTATTCATTGCAGATTATCGAGTGTATCGGAGCGAATCACCTGATGAATTTCTTTATAATATGATCGTATCAATTATAAAATTATATTATATGAATTATGTGTGTGTACCTACTTATACACARGGTGTAACAAAAAGACCTGACCAAAAAATAAATAAAAATTATGCCAATTCATCATATGACAAAATTTTTTAATATTAAATGATACCTAAATAAATAATTTAAGAAATATACTCATGTCAGCAAATTGTCAATAATCATATTTTTTTTAAAGTTATTGCGTTCCAAATTAATTTAACCAAAAACATATTTAATTTTAAAAAAAATTCTAGAAAGAAAACTACTTGACTTAGGTTATTCTTTTTACCATCAAAATTATTTTTATAATCAAATCCACAAATAGGCTATTTTGAATTTATCTAATATTTTTTTTATTAAATTAATTTTTTTTTCAGTACTAAAAAATAAAACAAAAATATGTATTATACATGTAGTGCTAGGTTCACTTATGAACGATAAAAAAATATAAAACATTAATGCGCATTAATGTGAAAAAAAAGTTAGTCCATAAGTCAGTTCTATCTGTTACACCTTGTATATATATATATATATATCGGTGTAGATACCTACCGATGAGTAACGGGTGTATAGAGTTATAGAGAAATTGAACAATCGATTTGTCAACCGATGAGCTAATTACTATATTTGTCTCGGTTCACATGGGATTATTTATTTTTTTTTTATTCGCTTACTTTTGGTCCCCTAAGGCCACGAGTTCAATTAATCGAAACAGTTGGATGCTCCTGCAAGTTTTAACTCTGCATCCATTGTCGTCACCGCCGTACGTSCAAGRCGCATGTGAGTCGTTCAATCAACCAGCTTTGTCATGTACTCCAACTGAAAGAGTGGAGAGTTATAAAAAAAATATCCCTCGTCTCTAATGCAATTCGTACCAAACCCTCGTTTTATAGTTATGACCGTGGTGAGGGGGGAGGAGAAGGCACTTTTTCTCGTTTTTCTGCCACAAACACTAAAAATGAAAACTGTTAGCACACACATACATTATAGGCCCTTAGGTACCTATTCACTATACAGTGTTAATATTATGTATTATCCATTTAGGTATACATGAAGATTCTTTTATCGAAAAACATTAATTTAAAGGTTAATACCTAGTGTAATATTACATTTTATGACCTTCCAGTTATTTATTTAACAATGTATAATTTAAAAATAATGCCTAAAAAATAAATTTTAAAGAAAAACTTAATTTGTTCAATCTATCGAATTTATTTTTTACGATCATAACATTCTTATCGGAGATTTTAAATTTTAAAAAATCTTCCTAAATAAAATTAACTTATAAATTTAAATCTGCAATTAAAAATTTTCCTTAAATTTCATTTATCGAAGTTAGTTATACTTATTGTATTGTGATCAGAAACATATTGGYGTAACGTATCAAATCGAACTTTTTGAGACTTAATCTAACGATATTTGATTGGATAAAAATTCTATGTATATATATCCTCATTGAATGTAAGAAAATGGCACATCCTTTTGTAAATGGCCTTTGTAACACTAAACAATATTCACTCAAGTTGTATAGGTACTTATGAAACTTAAGTAATAATTCACACTTACAGGACAACTGCTTTGTAAAAAGTTTCTGTCTCCTCTTGTAAAGTATTTTGTCAACATAATGATGAAAGATTGTTTCTTATCCTAAAATTTCTAATAAGCACAAATTAACATCTTATTTTAGTATTACTTCAATTGTAATTTTTTTCTTAAAATCATTTTTCATTACCTGTGTTAAATATATAATGTATAGCTTAGTTTTACTTTAGCCTATACCTCTGCTCGGGATTATTATTTTTTTTTTAAAGGTGTTATAAACCGAACAGCTGTATGTACTCCTATTTCACCACTCTGCTTTCCAGGTGCAAGAGTTCGGWCGGTCAAATGGGTACTCGCATAGAAAATKCCGAGGGGATCGTAACCGATTCATTGTAGTTGAAATCTATTCAATAGTTTCAGAAGATTACTTCTGGAAAAAAAAATTCTACTAGGTTTAATTTTATTTTTACAAATATTTTACCTCGGATTTTACTTTTGGGATTGTTCCTTATAGTAATAATATTATTTGATCAATTTATCCACCTAAATTACTATTTATTATTTACCCATAAAATATCAGTGAAGAAATGATGCTCAATAAATTAATTTAGGGTTAATAGTTAATATCTCGGTTAATATAGTTTAGAAAGTTATCGGAATACTGCGGTGGTGTGGTTCTCTGAGTTATAGTTTGCAAAAGATAATGAAAATTTTATATTCATTGGGTTGTTTATTATTGGATACGGGCTAACCCTTATTTTAAGAATATTTCAAATTATACTATTATGGGGTTTATCCTTAAACAAAATACATTTATTTATGATACTTACCAAGCAAAAACAACATATTATTAAGAGGACAATACATCCCTCGTGTCTTGTCTCCTTTGCAGTCTTACTAATGTATAAAATAACAAATTTACTTATTGGATTCTTTCTAAAAAAATGTTATGTTCAATATTACAGCAAAATTACTTATTATCGGATATGTTAAGGATTTATAAACTGCTTGAGAAGATTTTTTCATCATATATATTTTTTTTAATTTTAAAAGATTTTTATGAATTAGCATAGTTAATATTATCTAGAAATTCGATTATAGCCTATTGGTAAATTTTCTCTAGTATTAACTAAAAATAAATAAACTAGTAAGAACAAGTATGTTGTACATTTAGATGTTTTATGTTATACGTGTGTCAGGCAGATATAATCAGATATCCTCMTGATAAACTTTCTAACCTCCTAAATCATTTAGATACTGAATTGTATCGATGTTAAAAAGATATCCATAAAATGTATCATCCTTTGTTAATATTTTTTATTATTATTGACGATAGATATGCTGCATTTTTATTTCGCAATTTAGGTAGTAAGTACAAACAATTAAAGAAACTTGTTATCATTCTTCAAAATATGTCATAAATATCTATAGTGGAATTTTATACAGTATTATCCCCAATATACATTTTTCATTGTTTATGCGAATGCTAATTTTTACAATTATAATATGAGAATTTCATCATTATAAAAAATCATATCGACGCCTACTTATTTTGTTCACCTTCACACTCATCATTCAATTAAGGAACGTTGTAAAAACATAAATACCCAAKCACGTAGGATTGGTGGACAAACTACTATAATTATTATATATACCCARTTGTCCCATAATATTTAAGGGTACGAACGTCGAAACCAACAGCATGCACTTATAACCCATGCAACAATTTTGCCGTGCTTTCCCTAATTTAAACGGTTTTGTGGGGTTGTTGCACACAGGGCCAGGCGAGGGGGTTAACGGGTCGAGGGGGTCCATTAAACCCCTAACGTGAGGAGGATCGTAAATCCCCACAAGAAGCATTATCATCATAGCCACATATTATGGTCAATGCAAATACCAAGTGGACGCGATGAAATATGACCGAGTTTTTTTTTAATTTTWATTTTTAATAACAGTATTTTTTTTTATACTTGCAACTCATATGAATCCGACACCCATGGGATTGTTTGTCAACGTCATTTAGACATCCCTAGTTAACGTGTTTTTCGTTTCTCTTGACAATTTATATTTATTTATTTTTATTCATTCATCCTAAAACTAACAAAACTATTAAAGTAAAATAAAAATAACAAGAGATTTTTGGACACAAATATTATTTATTTATTATGATAAATGTTTAAACTGTATTCAGATATCTACAAGTCCGTCCGAATAGGTTTAAAAAGCTAAAAAAAAATTATTATATAGGTAGGTATATAAGATTTTTAAATATATATGGGTGGCTACTGGCTAGTATAATAATATTGATGTGCTATTTTTCACAATTCTATTTTACGCTATTTTATTAATAAACAACTACTTAATAAACGAAACAAAATATTAAGTTTGTTGAGTTTTTTTTGTACTAGTACTTATCGTTCAGGATTAATAATACATACATAAAGTGTTTRAAAAAAAAATTCATTCTTGAACATTGACCTACTAATTTGATATATTAAWAATGACATTTTATGTAACTTGTTGATTAACCTTTTATTGTTAATTGTTATTAATCAAGTGATACTTTAAATTCCGAGTAAAATCTAATATAAATGAAAACAAATAGAGTTTTAAATGTTCGTGTTTTATGGGAGTTTCTGTATATTATAGTATCTTGTTCTGTATACATCGGATCTACGTTTATAGTTGCTAATAATAGTTTTCCATGTATAATTACATTAATAATGTCATGAAATGCTGTAGGTAGGTATAGGCAAAATTCAAATAATAATTATTCACTCAAATTYAGTTTTTCTGTCTATACCGTTCTGATTATTATATGACACAATTTTTTAATGCGTATATCAATAAACTCGTTAAATTATTTTATTTATATTAATTATAGATAATTTATAAAAGACAATGTAGATTTTGTGTGTTTATCATTATTTTATAATAACTATTTAATTTTTTTTTTATGTTTAGGAATTATTGCGTGAAACTAGGAAATAATTCAATATTTAACACCTATCGGTAAGTAATTTTTGTACAGTACCTATATTTTAGAATTAATCAAAGTTTATGTTCGAATCGGTTTGTAAGACGCGAATACAACACACGCGAGCATCACGTCCTCATAAGATAACAACAGTGATGCGTGTAGCGTGTGTGGTGTGTTTCTGGATGATAACATTGCGTGCGTCGCGTATTTATATAATATGTTTAAATTGCTGTTGTTAGGTTGTTAACGGTTGTTTGCTYATAAACAGTGTTGTGTTTAATTTCCTCCGTCAGTAAATGTATCCAAAATATAGAAGACTGTTCGCTATACGTCGAGCTATATATGGACTAAAACATATATAATATCTCGAGAATATCGTTTAATATTATTAACCTATGACCTAGGTAATGATTTATTAATTTCGGTAGCCATAACGGCATCGGCTGTGTAGCTGCTGTAGATACGTGATTCCATTTCCGACCCACTACTACTAAACCACTCGTCCTCCACTTGTGTAGAATACACTGGCGGTGGTACAACGTGAATACGTGAGTCGTCAAAAGTTGTGCGGAACACCGACGAAAATCGCTTAATCGAATAAAGAGTGGAAAAACAACATAGSTAGAGCGCGTAGGTATGCCATTTGTGTATTGAATTTGATTAGATAAATCGACTGCGCATTATATTATTATTATACATCTGCTGYATGTGGGAGCTTTCTCCTCTAATAATATTTCAATGCTTTACTTATACCCACTCCATACATAATATAATACCGGCGTGCATCACATTGTATACAATATTCGGTGGTTCTTATCTGCTCTGCTCGTTTATTGTTGTGTGTACGCCGGAAGAAGAACTACAGAGGGAGTTGTGGTCGTAAAGTCAGTGGATAACGCGCGGACCACGCACATAAAAATACGTTCTTTATCCTTTGTCCGGATACAAATCGGACCCGCCACCGATGTCCGATGCGATAATGCCTAATAACCTTATATAGGTGAACTACCGCTGCTGCTGCAGCACTATCTGCGATATCTATGGGGGAAAATAATTTTAGCGCGYTACTAACAAAAAATAATGATAAACATAATACGTTATCGATGTTATTATCTCGKCAGTAATAATATTTTATTATTTTATACACCATAAATTCGAAAATTGCAAACTAAATAATGTGCATAGTATATTATTATTATACCTACTCGTTATTATAAAATGTTTGTTAATTGATAACATCGGGTGGGTAAATCTAAAAAGGTATAACAATAATTGTATCTGAGTATAACATGGTAATTATAACCATTCATCCTAGACTCAATATTATGTTTAAGTGTTTACTGTTGGACAACACATATATTATGTTTAATGTATGTAATGGTTATAATGTAAATCCAATGTTGAACATTTGCAATAAATTTAAAAGTAAAGGTTTTGTACATTTATGAAATTTATTTGGATTGTAATTAATTGACCTATGACCTACATACCTATAGGCTATAACTGCACACTTGCACACAATAAATATATGTTTTCATAAAAATATTTGACGATTTTTAATTTTACTTTCACTGTTAGCATCACTATGTAGCACTTTATCTTAATATATAACAATAACAACAAAATGTTTTAATGATAACGTTCGTTATAAATACCTATTGCTACTTTGTAAAATATAGTATTGAAATTATTTTACCAATCGATTACTTAGACATATTTCTTTTCAACTCTGAATAAAGTTTGACCGAAGTCTTTGTTTTCTTAGTTGTGTATATTTTGAAGGTATATGCACATATATACCACATTGTTTTAAACGATGTTTTGAAAGTAAATACTGATAGATTTAGTCACTCCTCAAACTTAAATTTAACCTAGGTAATTGAGTTTGAATTTTAGAATTTGGAAACATTGGTGAACTTATAACTTTTCATACTATACATAATGTTATTTTATTATTTATTATTTATTATAATATTATGATTGGTTCTCTTCTATACTGTTATAAATAAATATACTTACTTCAATGATTGTATGCGTCGATGTTCATGAAAACATTTTTATTTAGCAAAATACTAGATACTAGTAGTCCCTACTTGTCATTTGTCAACTCGATACTACGTGTGGGGTCTTGACAAATTGTATGGTTAATAACGTTATTATTCAAACAGGAATGATACCAGCCGACAATGATTGTACGTGTTAGCGCGAAGTTAACAGATCATGCAGTCATACCAATGAGCGCATTACCATGTAAAACGTGACCGTCATAAAAAAAAACGGCTAGCAATAACACGATATTTTTTAAATATTTTTATGGTCCATTTTTTTTTTTTATGTAAATAGTTAATACCGATACAAACAAAATTGTCGATTGTTGCAAGTAATACAATTTACATAAAGTTCAACTACACAGGCTGAGAAAAATAAATGTTTAGTATGAAACTATTATACAATGTTTACAATAATATATAGAATGTGAATATTGCAGGATTTTAAAAATTAGTCAGTATCTAATAATTTTATTTTTTTATTTCCGAAAAAAAAAATGAAAAATGAAACGACGAATAAACATATTAATATACGTACTTATATCAAATTAATTTGCTTTCAACATACAAAATTAATATTGATCAATGAGAACCAAAGGACGTTCGGGCGTTTGTTTGCCATCATTTTTATAATATTTTTTTGAATTTTATTTCCATCTATAAAACCAAGACGGCGACGATAGACCCCAGAGTAGACCCTTTATATTATTCGATATATACCCTCTAAAGTTCAGATGACTCATAAGTCCCCTTCCCAGCGGTCATTTCCCGTATGCGCTGAGGGGTAATGCGCGTGCATTTATCCCAAGTCCATAATAATAAGACTTCTCAGTCAGTTTCTTTTGTGTTTGCCGTTGACTTATTGCACAYAGTCATTTGCAGAGAACCGATAAGACTTAACAGAGAAATGAACCAATACACGAATCCATCAGTTATATTATTATGAGGGGATTGTCTTACGAAACACAAACGATTTGTAATCTTACTAACTTCCTCTTATATTGTAGAAACCATTTCGTTGTGCTGATTAAGATTAAGATCGTGAATTTAAAACAGTAGTATTTTCTGATGAAAAAAAATTGTTTTTCTGTATGTCAATAATAAAACCTACCATCAAAATGTTTATGTTTCGTTTTTATTGACTCAAGCCTAGATGAAGGGACGATAACGAAATACTACGTGGGACCGTAATTTATTGACTAGCGTTTGAAGATTTTAYAATACGTATTTTCAATTTTGAATTACCGTATTATTATTCATTTCTCGAAAACGGTTATTTTAAAAACCCTTAAACGACTTTTTAATACTTTTAAAAGCACACCATTTCCTTCAACCTCGAGCTATACACGGATAAGGTAGACTAAMCAAAAAAAATTGTGATTTATAATCTATTATACAGTTTTAAAATGTCTTATTCTAACCTAATCCAATTGAATACGGTGTTCATAAATTATTTTCCCTGAATGTGTTACACCTTACACATAACGTTTGAACTAGACATTAGAAAATTAATATTACATGACTTAAAATGACAGTGACTTTTAGGTTATTGRGCGTGAATGTTTATGAATTTGCACCTTTTAACCTACGTTATTATGCGGGTGACATGATTGGATAGTTTTTTTAATTCGAGTAGTAATATTTACTAGTATTGGAGAATTTATTTTATTAATTTCCAATTCTTAGAAATAAAAATCAAAACTTGTACCTATCACAATTCTCTAACTCAAACTTATTTTTTTTTAAATCGTGGATGATGAAAAATATGATCTATTTGTGTATTACAATTTTTTGGTAATCCCCCACTCCYCCAATTGTAAATAATAACTAATAAACGAAATATTAAACTGACTTCGATAGTATCAATTAAATAATGTAAATCCTATAATTGTCGAGCTATATTAGTTAATACCCCGGTTAATACATAAAGCTATTAATGAAAAATAAAAATAATTGTAATATTGCGGGTATTATCAATCGTACGGCCAAATATATTTAAGAAAATCTCATTATACCAGAAAAGATTATAACATTCAAGACTASTTTTCAAATAACTAATTTCTGTAAAAATTATATTTTCCTCGGTCTTAAATCTCCAATTACTAATTGTAGAACGATTTTCGTTATTATCAAATTTAGTTTGTCTAATAAATACTTGCTGATCTAGACAATCAATCATTTTCACTACTGTTTGTCTTTGGCCTATTGAAGAATGAWTATTGTCGATACTAGAAATTTACAAGGAAAAAATCCGTTTCTGTTCACTTTATAGCTGTCTGGTTGATTTGTTGCCTCTTAAGCGTAAGGATAGAAGATGGTTTTTAAGTTTTTGGAATTTTGACAAAACAAAAACCATTAAGAAAATGAAAGTTTGATTTATTCAGACAATGGCGGCACCGCTATGGCCACCTAGTCTAGTGAAATATAGTGGTCGATTGTGTTTAGCGCCTTTCCTCCCATTTACAACAACTATTCTTCAAATAAATAATTTTAACCCCGTTATTTCTCACCAAATAGTTTTACCGCCTTTTCATATAGAAATATAGAATCGTTTTTCAAAGTGACCAAAAACTACTGGATACGGGTAGTTAGCCTCTACGCCGTCAACTGGTTTAAAACTTTAAAAATAAAGCAAAACCCTTCTATAAAATATTAGCCCGATTCTAGTTTTTTTCTAARTATCTTTTGTATAAATCTAGTACCTATCTTTTTTTAAAGTATAAAACTTTTTAAAAATCCCAAAATCTATTTAATTATTTATTAGCTACAGGGCTACAGCTATAGTCTATGTTGGATGATAATTATTTAAGTAATTTATTAATAACAACTGTAGTTAACCTAATTATTTTTTACTCAAAATTAATAATATGTATATATATAATATTATACATAATATTTCTTTAGCCTGCATGTTCAAATACATAAATATTTCAAATAAATTATTTTTTAAACATTTATTTAACTGTGTATTATTTATTGAGTTT